GTGCATTTTAGAGAGATGAGGCCTCTTCGATTCATGTGTTCATCCATCCTTACTTTTAGGCTACTTAGTTAATCATGTAAAAGACAGATTGCCACCTACTGGATATGAGATGTTGCAGGCATATTAACCTACAATGAATTCTCATGATGGTTCTTTCAGAGTAAATATGTAAAACATTTTTCCAAAGAATAGCTCATTTTTATTGACACTAAATGTATTTGTTTAAATGCTTTTATCACTAAAATTAATGGGTATTACTTTAGAAACACCAAACCCAATGCCACTGAATGGATTTCAACTCATGGTAACACAATAGGAGAAAGTAGAACCGATGTAGAGTGTTTCCAAGGCTGGAATCCTTATGGAAACAGAAGGATTTATCTTCTTCTCGCAGAGCTGCCAATGCAACCACCAATCTTTCAATTAACAGCCAAACACTTGAACCATTGTGGTCCTTCCCCCAAAGTCAGTATTTAAATTTCAGAGGGCTATCTCATTCATTTACTACATTGTATTCTTAAAGTCTCTTATTATTTACTTCATAGAATACTCATTGCCCTTGAAATATGCATCAATTCTCTTCATTTTCAGATGCTGTAATATTTATGCCTGTTTGGGATAAATAACTCAACAATATAGAAAAGCAGCCTGTCACAAAATGCAAGCTTTGTATATATAAATCTAGTAGGTTCCCTCTACATGTCAGATTTTTACTTTAATCTACCATGTTATCTATAGTACAAATGAGCTCCTTTTCTATTTGTTTTAAAATAAGAAATTATAGTCTTTGAACTTTAGAGGTTTAGATTCTATTAGATTGTAGTTCAATTCATTTAGCAAATATTGTCTGTTTTGGGCCAGATGCTAAGAATCAGGAGCTAACACGACATATAGAATAATCTTAGTCCTAATGGAATTCACAATCTAGTGTTGAATTTTTAGGATATATATATATATTCCCAGCCATTACATGTCAAGCACATGTTTGTGTATTGCTAAACACTGAACAGAATTAAGCTGAGTTTCCAGACTAAGATGGACCAAGAAAAAAGGCCTGATGATGTATGTCTGGAAATCGATTAGTAAAAATCCGATGGATCACAGCAATCGGACCCTACTGTGTGTAGGATCACCATGAGTCTGGGGTAATGGGCAGGCTGACTCAAGGAAGCCAACTGAAACAGCATATACTATACCATGTGTATTATGTGATGTCATCTATAGCTATATAGATAATGTCATCTATATCATATAACCATATGAATAGGTTATATGGTAACCTCAGATCAGATCACAGTGGCAGTTTCTATAGATGAATTCACTGAGCACCTACTCATAACACATTCAAAATTTCCATTCTTTACTAGGCACTCTGCAAACTGAAAGTCTCTTTTCCAGACATCTTAGAGCTAGGGTTCTCCATGTAATCGAGATTTCATCTGAAGAAGCTTCCAAGGGGGATTAGAAATGCAGGAGTGAGAAGTCTGAGGCAGCAGGTACTCATGGGAAAATCAGATCTTCTAAGAACTGGATATGATGGAAGCTTCTAGTATTCTAGCAACATAGAAACTGACTTAGTGGACAATGGTTTAATTGGATTTTCATGGAACCATTTCCTGTGTGATTATATATTTCTTCAAGAGCCACGTGTCTTCCTTGAGGATGTAGCATCAAAGATCGCTTTTTTGGTCCTTGTAGACATTTTTTGTTCCCTTACAATTCCCTGTCTAATTAACCTAACACAAGGGCATGCTATTTTTCACAACACAAATCCTTGAAAGTAGAATGAGCTCTCTACATTTCCGTGAAAAGGTATTTGTTGGATCCTAGGTAATTTCAATGGCATTAAATCTGATTTTATATATTAATTTATGAGGTTAGGTACGCATCACCCTCAGTTGCATATATTTGGAATCTTTAAACAATTTGTACTCATGGTCTGAAATTTGAATTCTGGTGGGTGTTTTCGTGGTTTGTATTTGTTTGTTTGTTTGTTTTGTTTCATAGTAGTTTATTCATGGGTCCCCTTTTCACTCCTCGGTGGATTTTATGTATTTTTCATAGGCCTCTTCACTCATTGCTTCATCAGGTTCTGAAGGATTAGTCAGTGCCATCTTAATCTGCCAACCATCCCCATAACAGGATTTGTTCACAAGCCCGGGATTCTCTGTAAGCCCATCATTCTTTTCTGTGACTTCTCCTGATAAAGGGGAGTCGAGTTCACGAGCCGCTTTCACACTTTCCAGAGCACCCAACTCATCCTGTTTGTTCAGCTTTGTCCCAACTTCAGGAAGACTACAGTAAACAACATCTCCCAAAGCTTCCTGTGTGAAATTGCTGAGCCCCACTGTTCCAACACCATTTTCTCTCATTACCCATTTGTGTTTGTCTGTGAACTTGCGCACTGAGAGCAGAGCCCGGCTGGAGCATGGTTTGTATTTTGTTTTAACTTAGACTACCAGGTCTGATGAATGCTCTCTTGAAGCATATTCGTTTATCTCATTCATTTTCACAGACTACGCAGGTCTTCAATCTCTGGGATTTACGTAGAGACATAGTTTCAGCTCCTTGGTGAACTAGACAATTTAAAATCCTAATATCTGCCCTTAGGACGCATATCAGTGTGTAAAACCTTTAATGGTTCCTGGTAGAAGCTCCCGCTCACTTCTGTCCCCCTCCCCCTCCCATTGTTTTCTCAATCATTGATTCATTCTCACAAATGGTTATTTTCCTTTATTTCTGTCTGTAAAGTGATAAAATTTTATATTTTCAACATGTTATACTTTATAGTTAACGAAGTCACTGTCCATGTCAATCCATTTTCCTGTTTTGCTAAAAAGCCTCTGTGAAAAATAGCCATCAACCTTCATCAAGAGGATTTATAGCCTGAGAAACTCACAAGGGCGGTTCTCCTTGGCCCCTTGAATCAGAGACGACTTGATGGCAGCGAGGATGGTTGGGTTCGGAGTAGAGTAGTAATGAGACAGGTCTGGCTATTGACATGAAAATTAATTGCACAAAATAATTTAAAATTTAGTGTATCAGTTATGCTGCCCACATTTCAAGTGCTCCGTAGTCATAGGTTTAATGATTAGAGCCAAATGTACAGGACATTTCTATTATGTGAAATTATACTCATCAATACTGAAAACAAAACCACAAGCAAACCAGACTCATGCCACGGAGTTTATTTCACCCATAGCAACCCTAAAGAGCAGAGTAGAAACACCCCACAGGGTTTGGAAACTAATCGTTAAGGAGGTCCCCTGGTGGCACACTAGCCAGCTAAGCAAAAGATTGGTGGTTGGAAGCCACCAGCTGCTCCGTGGGGGAAGATGCACCAGGCGGTATCAATAAAGATTTAAAGCCTTGGGAAGCCTATGGGGGCAGTGTGTCTACTTTGTTCTATTATGAGATGGAGCTGCCTCTGTGACAGGAGGCTTGGTTTGGGTTTTGGAACCTTTAAGGAAGCAGACTGCCTTGCTTTTTTCCTACAGAGCAGCGAGGGCACACCAACTGATATCTGTCAGGGAGCAGCCCAGCATTTAAACATTGTGCCAAATGGTGGTTCATGGCCGAAACGGGGGCGGTTGTCAGGCCCAACTCATCGTGACAGCCCGTGCAACAGAACAAATCCGGTTCTGTTCAGTATGGCTCTGTGCTATCCGCACAATTGTTGCTAGGCTCCCGCCACTGTGCCGATTCATCCTGTCGAGGGTCTTCGTCTTTTCCGATGCCCCGTCACTTTACCAAGGCCATGTCCTTCTGCAGGGACTAGTCTCACCTGATACCAAGTCCAAAGTATGTGGGAAGAAGTCTCACCAACCTTGCTTCTCAGGAGCATTCTGGCTGTACTTCTCCCAACACAGATTTATTCATTCTTTTGGCAGCCTGTGGTACTTTCAATATTCTTCCCCAGCATCAGCATTCAAATTGGGTCCTTTTGGTCCTCTATTTCTCCTCATACATCTTTATATGTCCAATTTTCACATGGTTATGGGGTGATGGAGAATACCATGGCCCAGGTCAGATCTACCTTAGTCTTCAAAGGAACATCCTTTCCTAATATTAAACTATCCATGATTCCCTGTGCTGTTGGCAAAATTGCCTCTTGACCCATGTATAGGTTTCTCATGGGTATACTTAAGTGTTCTGGAATTCTCTTCTTCATCAGGCTATCCATAGTTTGTCATGATGCACACAATTGAATGCCTTTGCATAGTAAATAAGACACACATAAGCATGTTTCTGTTATTCTCTTTCAGCCTACATTCATCTGACAGCAGCAATAATATCCCTTGTTCCACATTCTCTTCTCAATCTGGCCTTACCCTCTGGTAGCTCCCTGTCAATAGACGATTGAAAACATGGTTGTATAACCTTCAGCAAAATTTTACTTGAATGTGATATTAGTGAATTCAAATATGTGATATCTCTAAGGGAAATATTCTGTGGGGTCACCTTTCTTTGGAATGGGTACAAACATGAATCTCTCCCAGTCAATTGGCCAAGTTGCTGTCTTCCAACTTTCTAGGCATCGACCAGTGGGTGCTTCCAGTGTTTCATCAACTTGTTGAAGCATTTCAATTGCTGCCTCATCAATTCCTAGTCTTGTTTGTGGCTAAGGCCTTCAGTGTAGTTTTGTCTTCTACTTCACATACCATAGGTTCTTGCCCATATGCTAACTTTGGAAATGGGTGACTGTCAACTACCTCTTTGGGGTATAGTCACTCTGTGTATTCTTTACTCATTCTTTTGATGGTTCCTGCATCAGTCAACATTTTATCATATAATGTTTTTAATATGGCAACTGGAAGCTTGGATTTTTTTTCTTAGTTCTTTCATTTGAAGATATTCTGAGATTGTTCTTCATTATTGGTTCTCTAACTCTAGGTTTTCACACTTCAGTATAAAAACCCATAGGGACTTTATGCACAACAGAGTGAAACACTGCATGGTCCTGTGCCATCCTCACAACTGCTCCTATGCCTGAGCCTATTGATGCAGCCATTATGTCAATCCATCTGGTTGAGGGTCGTCTCCTCCTTCGCTGCTCCTCCACTTTATAAAGCATGATGCAAATCTCCAAGGATTGATCTCTCCTGACAATATGTCCAAAATCTATAAGCAAAGTCTTGCTATCCTTGCCTCTAAGGAACACTCTAGCCTTACTTCTTCCAACACCTTTAGCAGTCCATGGTACTTTCAATATCCTTCTCCACAATTCAGATTCATCATCCCCATGTCCAACTTTCACATGCATATAATCCAGCTTCTCTGAGGATTTGCTCAGCATAGAGATTGAATAAGTATGGTGAAAGGATACAACCATGACACATTCCTTTCCCAATTTTAAACCTTGCAGTCTGCCCTTGTTCTGTTTGCACAACTGCCTCTTCATCCATGCACAAGTTCCTCATAAGAACAATGAAATGTTCTAGAATTCCCATTCTTCTCAAGGTTACCCACAGTTTATTATGGTCCACACAGTTGAACACCTTGGCATATTCAATGAAACACAAGTAAGCATATTACTGATATTCTCTGTTTGAGCCAAGATCCACAGAACATCAGCAATGAAATCCCCTTTTCCACATCCTCTTCCAAATCAAGCCCATATTTCTGGGAGCTAGGCAGCTGTCAATGTACTGCTGCAAACAGTACAGGATCTTAAGCAAATATGCTGTCAATTTGATTTTTGTGTATTTCATCTGGAGAGGTTTGTGTATGTTATTACTCCTTTACTGTTGAATAAAAATATTTGCAATGAAGAAGGCATTGATCTTGGCAAAATTCTATCATGCTATGCCCAACCTCACTTCTACCACACCAAGGCCATGTATGCCAACTACTGCTCCTTCCTCTTTGTTTCCAATCTCTGCCAATACTTTTCAATGCATTTTGATTGCATGTTTGATCAATCTCAGACTGAAATGTTGGTGAATTGCTTCAGTTTCTTCATCACTATCTTTTATGGTGGGTGCGTACATTTGAATAATGGTTGTATTGATTGGATTTCCTTGACAGAGGATAGATGTGATTCTATTACAGACACCATTTTATTTCAAGATAGATTTTGAAATGCCCTTTTTGGTGCTGAATGTGATGCTATTCCTCCTCTTGAATTTGTTATTCCTTGCACAGTAAACTATATAATCACCTGATTTAAAATGTCCAAGTACCAGTATAATTCAGTTCACTAATGCTTAAGATATTAACCATTGTGGGTTTCATGATATTTTTGATGACTTCCATTTTTCCTGGATTCATAGTACATACATTCTGAGTTCCAATTATTAATAGGTGTTGGTACCTCTTCTGTTTTTGAGTGGTGCCCCATATACAAATAAACTTCCCAAAAGTTTTATTTCATCCATATCCTTATGGTTGACTCTACTGAGAAGGCAATTCTTCCTCAGTCCTATTTTGAATGCCTTTCAAGCTGAGTGGCTAATTTTTCTGGCACTGCATTTCACAAGGTTCTGCTGCTCTTCGTGGGGTGCTTGCTATCTGGCTGCATGCTCCTGTTATTCACAAGATTTGAAGTTGCTAACTCCTCAGACATGGACAGCTCCTTTCTTCTTTGTAGTCTGTTCTTAGTTTGGAAGCTCTGCTGAAATCTGTTTACCTTGGTTGACCCTGCTAGTATTTGAAGTACCAGTGACATCACTTCTAGCATTACAGCAACACACAAACCACCACAGTACAACAAACTGACAGACAAATGGTGAGGTCCATACTGAATGGTCTTGGCCAATGCAGTCCACATAAATCTTTCAGAATATTTCACCTAGTTCCCTTTGCATAACCCCCTTCAAGAATGCCATAGGTAATATTTAAGATTGCACACCCTAGAGTCTTAGTACCTGGGGTTTAATCCCAGTTTTAACATTAGCTGGATGATATCCAGCGCATTTATGAAGGTAACTGTAGTGGAAACATGAGTATAGAAACAGATGCGGAGTGCATGGATAGTAACTGAAAAAAACGCACATGAAACACCTCCTATATATCATACACTTCCCTAGTCACTAGCATGAGTAGAACAGGCAGGGTATCCTGAGGAGGCATTATGTAGTCTGAGAAAATATAGAATGAATACGTAACCAAATAAAGAAAAGTTTCGCTATTGTTGTGCAATGACAAAGATAAAATAGGATAATATTACTGTGACTAGAGGGAGCACCTCTATTGGTAAATTTATTAGGGAAGGCACTCTGAGTTACTAGTTGAACAATAAGAAGATGATAAAATGCAAATTCTCAGTGAAGAGTCTATGAAGCAAATAAAACAATAGGCACAAAAGCCCACGACAGATGGGAAAATGGCATATTTAATGTACAGACAAAAGACCAACGTAGTAACAGTCGTG